ACAAAGCAAATAATCATCTCCATTCGAATAATTCATAAAATAGAAGCATCGAGTATGAATAAAGGGAATAAATTTATTTGAAACTATGAAATTGTTCCAAGAAAAATCGAAATGAAAAGACATTGGAAAAATTCATTTTTTATTTCTATTTATGCATGAAATTTTAAAATAAAATATAGACGGAAGAGTGATAAACGAGAGATAAAAAAGGCTTTTTCCCCTGTATATAAAAACTAGATTTTTCACTCAATTTCACACATGATCGATGTTTGATATAAAAAGCTTTTTATATAGTATGGATGAAACATCATTGGTGACATTTTGGTGCAAAAAAATTCATAATAACGCGCGACAAATGTAGAAACGGAATGTAGAAACTTGGAGGAGTGTTTGGTCGTACCTCGTTGGCCTATTGTGTTCACCTTCCTGTCGTTCACGGGCAAAAAGCTCGAGAGGGTGGAAACTTGCAAGAACAAGAAACCGTTGACTTTAGAAGGTGTTAATTAAACGAGAGAAGCAAATTTGGCGCGGCAAGGCAAAGAAAGGCGCTTTGACCTAGGGAATTCAAGGTTAACGAGACGAGCTCGAGCTGAAAATGAAGGTTTGGAGATCTCTGATGTTGAAAGATTAATTTACGCGAGGGGTTTGGGGGTCGATAATTATTTGACTTCGAAAGAACACGTTTCAATATTTTTTCAACTTCAAATTTTCGCGTATTTAAATAAAAAAAAAGAAAAAAGCGAAAGCTCGAAGAAAAATACTAGAAGTGCAGTTTTCTCACCTCGAGAAGTTTACCTGCTAAAAACCATAATATTGAAACTTGAAATTAAAGTAAGTTGTAATCTTTCGACTCTGTGAAATTTCAATATTTCTAACCATGGAAATAAGATGATAATAATCCACGGTTATTTTCTTTTAAATGAAATTATTCCTTGTGAAATAAACCTTTTAACATTTTGAAATAAAATATTTTGAGATATCAAATTTTTCAAGTAATGAATGAATAAGAAGAATTGGGATAAATCTTCCATTTCTCTCGTCAAAAAAAGATAGAGAAGAACGCGAAGAACGAAGGAAAACTTCTGTTCTGAAGATCTTGTTTCAACACTTTACGAAATGAAACATCTCGCGATTACCAAAAAAAAGATCAAAATTATAATCACGAATTTTAATTTTATATCTATGTTCGCTCAAAAATGACGAATCGTGCGCATCACTAAATTTTATATATCATCCACGAATCTAAAAAAAAAAAATCTTCTTTCGATATTTCTTCGAAATCAAACATTTCCCCCGTGATTATCGAAAGAATTCATTAAAAACGAGGATCAAAAGGATAATTACGAATCGTGTGATTTTACACGCGGAACATTGCGTGTGCGTGTGGTTGACAGGCCGACATTTCAGCGTCGCGCCGGCATCCACTTCCGTTGGCTGACTCCGACGTCCCTATTTGCATAGGGATGCATCACGGCGCGGCGCTGTTAAAAAACGAGACAAAACGACGGACGAAACAAGAAGAAAAAAGGAACAGCGTAATAACTAGCCTGCCTGTATGACACGTCACGGCTGGAATGTTCCGTGACTCCTTTGGAGAGGTGGCACTCGTCGTACGCTTGCAAATCCTCTGCCACCTGGAACGTTTGCTTCATTGTTTGCATCACGTTACGCTTCTCCTCGTCGCGTTCTCTCCCTTTATTTTTTCCCAATTTTTTTTTTCTTCCCCACCATTTTTATATTTCCACACGACGCTATGTATTGTACGATCGCGTTACTTGTATTGCGTACGTTTTGAATAATATATAATCGTGGTTTTCGAGTATAACGACGAGGATATATAATAGATGTGTATATAGATGTTTTTTCTTCGTTTTAAGTAAGTGGACGCTTACCGTAATCCTCTTCGTAGATTATGGCCACTCTGGTCCAGTTTAAAAATGACATGAGATCTTTGAAGGCTTTGTTCAGATGGTCCTGAGATGGATAGAGATTTATACTGAACTCCTTGAACGTTGGCTCGAAGTCGACTCTGGCCTCGAGATGCGGGACGTCCAGAGCTTCACAAATGCTCTGAATATGGGCGCCCAGAAGAGGGTCGGATGGGCCGAAGATCCCTTGTACCGATCTCGACAGCTGCTTGCACGCTGAAATAGGAAAGATTATTGGTTCGTTGAAAGTTTTTGACAGTTAATCTATTAATTTTTCTATATATTTTTCTGCAATGGCTAAAAATAATATATATATATATTAGTAATGTAAATTCTCTCTCTAGCCTAATTATCATATCATTGGTCTAATATTTGACGAGAATGCAAGTATAGAAGAGAGATGAAATAACATATAACTTCAATTATTTTCGTCGTTGAGTACGTTAAGGGGTGCATACATAAAATTATTTCTCGCCCAAATTAGAAAGAATTAAATAATCGTCGAATTAAAAGGATCATCCCTCTGATATATTTCACTATTCCAAAATAAACGAATGCTAACAGAAGTGTCAGCATCCGCGCACACGGTTGAGAATCCCATCTAAATGGATTTGAATGAGAATGTAGTAGGTAAACAAGCAAAATGGCACGAAGAAGCGTGGAAATGGAAATACGAGCGTGGACTGGTGTTGACACTCCGATTTCATATTTCGAGACAAGACACGCTCTCGGGACTCCCTATATCAGGGGAGAAGTTGCGTGTATTTCCTACGCCATTTCACGGTAATCTTCCTCGTAAACTTTCATCGTGGCACGTGAATCGGCGACAAAAAGATTGACGCGAAACTTTGCCCCGCCTTTTCCTCTCGACTGTAAACAAGAGTCGCACAGCTACTTGCCTCCCACCGTTTCGACTCGGTTTTTCGTGCGGTGGAACGAGCACGTTACAACGGACATTCTTACCCTCGCGTGCATGGTATGAGTCTGTTGCAATTCCGGATACCAACTCGTCGGATTACTCGTAACCCTTCGAAATACGGTTTGGAAATACGGTTCTTTCCTGCGATAAACGCTCGGTTTTGGAATGGAAAATTTTGCAACGAGTTTTTTTTTTTTTTGTAAAAAAATGCAAGTTGAGGTATGATGGATGAATGTTGATCGATAAATATTTTTTTTTTTAAATAACTGGTACGAAAATATTTTTCTGGTATTTTTCATGTGAAATAATTTGACGATTCGATGGATGTTGGATAGGATTTATCGAAGATCTTATTTTATTTGCTACGTTATTTCATCTCGATTAATATTATTTGATGGAAAATTAGAGTAAAGTTTATACGTGTTACGGTGCATGAAGGATGAGATGGATCCTCCATTTCTATAATTGGGAATTTAAGAAATGATGCAACGTTCAAAAAAATGACAAAGATATAGTTGAAGAAATCGTCTAAGTGCGTGAACACATTGCTTCCAAGAATTTACTTTTCTTGGAAAAGTAATTGCTATTTCGAAAGTAAAATTACTCTGAGACGATTCTCAATTTGCGATAAAATATTCTCGAAAACAAGCTGTTAGAGAATTTGCATTCTAAGATGCAAATATAAATAATCTTCGTTCGGTGTCGAATCATTTGTCGTAGATCGAAACGCGCTTGAATGGAAACGAATTTTCAGACTCTAATTTTCGATCACAATACGTTGTCTCGTGTTATTTTTCCATCGACTCGGCCCATATTCGACTCACGGTTCACGTGTTAATCGAACATTCATGGAAGCGACGTGATCGTATGATTTACGAGTACGATGTCTATGCTCGTGCAGCAAGGATCGCACGGAAAATGGACAGGAAATTGATACGTTATCAGACAGACGGCTTCCTGATCCATTATCCGCGATATACTTTGCGAACGTCTGCTCTCTTTTCGAAGAAAAGATCGTCCGACACATTGTTGGATGAACGAGTTCGATTTCGAAAGTAGGATTTTGTTCTGTTCAAGCGTTCTCCGTTTTGCTGGCTAGAGAATTATTCACGTGATTCTTTCTTCCTGCCCCTTTTGATAGGCAATCAGGCTAAACTGACTATCGTTTCATTCGTGTTTACAGTGCCGATTTCATTTAATGCGCGATCGAAAACTCATTAACTCAAAATTGATTTTATATTAAATATAAATTGGAATATTTCTTGTTTTTCATTCTTCGTCTTGTTCTACGATGATTCGAGGATAAAATATTCCAATGCATGGAAAAGAGTATTGTTGAAGAAACAGGAACTAGAAATAAAGTGATCATAAAATATTTTCCAATATTACCCGTTTCATTTAAGAGTTATAATTATTAATAATGTCTAAAAATAATTTAGGATAAATATGTTTTCTCTAAAGAGGCAAATAATAATTATCTCTTTTGTTGATTTTAATAAATTTTTCCTCGAAAAGGTTAGGATAGGATGATTTTAACAATTGGTCTGATCTCTTAAAGAATCACGTGAAGTTCACCAAGGAACTCTGTGAGCTGATTTAGTAAAGAGCGTTTCATCGATCTTCTTGAAAGCTTCTTCAGCTTCGAGATCTATCAGTGTCTTGTCTTCGAGCAATCGTAATTCGATTTAACGTCGTTGATGTCTGTATCGTGCGGAACTCGATGAAAATTCCTATTCGTTTGGCGAGAACAAGACAGCCAAGTCAACCTTACGACTGTTCATCGTCTGAACGACTCGTGAGATATCTCGTTCGTCGTCGTTATTCCCTTGATTAAATCGTATTCTCGACGATGGTAAATAAGTCTCTTTACTTCGTTACCATGTTACTCTTCTTGTTAACGAACCGACACTAACGTCTTGAATTACTGACGTAGAAATGCTCCAACTTATCAGTCATCATTTTCCTCATTTCCATCGAGCACGACTTTTGACAGAGAATTAATAATTTTCCAATTAAACCTTCTTAAACATTCGTTTTCTAAATACGTTATTAATTTATTTATTTAATATCGATTTGTAAATTCATTTTTTAATGTCATATATTACAAACATTCGTCGTAACGATTTCTTTTTCCATTTAATTTCTTCTTATTTTCTTTTTAAGTCATCCTTAAATTTCCCACCTATTACTGTCGTTCATATTTCAACAATTATTATTCCCAGAATTTTCCTGGAATTTTACAGAATTCATCTACATTTTGAATCGTTGCTTCCTCGATCCTCGATATTTAATATGTATTTTAGAATTACTGCAATGTACAATGTAGTGTATAATCGAACAACCGATGCTCGATACACGGAATGTAACGTAACACTATCGACAAGAGAAGCAAAATTAAACGTGTATCGTTGTTATAACGCGGAATGTTAAAACATCCCTTGCTTCCATCGAATAATTAGTCAGAAATTATTACCAATAATAATTTCGTTCGGAAAACAGAGCTTTCCCCTCGTTCTCCCCCGCATTATATCTCCTCGTATTTTTCGTTTAACCAAGCAACAAAATAGTCACCGTTCGAGCGCATTGACATGCAGAAATAGCTTCGTCACTAATTTCCGTCTAACAATCCCTTCCTCCTCGCCATTTGTACACTTGATGAAGAAAGATTGCGCAACAATGTGGCGTTAACGCGGTCACGGTGTTCGAGGAAAATCACGCCCCTATTCCGCTTTCAAAATGGTAACGAGAGACGGTAAGATTGAAGAGGGATTTTAAACGCCCCCCTCCCCCTTGTTGAGGAACTCGAATGTCCGAATGGTTGAAACCGGTGGGAAAACAAAGCGATTAAACGCATCGGATCTCTCGAATCGTGCCATTTTTACCATTTAGGATGGGATGAAAAAATGTTTCTTTTTCCTTTTCCCTATGTTTCATTTTTTTTTTCCTTCCTTCCTTTCCTTTCCTTTCCTTTCCTTTTTTCCTTTTTCGTTGGGAATTACGAACGCAGATTTAATTGCGACGCGGAGTCGACTCGTTGAAAGTTCCTACGAAGCGGGAAACGAAACGCTGGCAATCTTGCGTTCCGGTTGACCTGAATTCCCCCGTTGGTGGAAACGGACGGCCCCCTCTATAGAGTCGGGGAACAAAGATATCAAGGTTTTGTTCGGAGGGCATAGGTATACCGAGACGAAATGGGAGCAAAAGAGTGTCCGACCGGGGGAAGCAGTAAATTAAAAATACAACGGGTGCTCGCGTGTCGGCCCGGATTTTAAACGGTCCCGTTTACCTGTCTGCCGAAAAAACGGGGGGGAAAAAGAAGAGGGTCCTCCATCAGCGCTTTCAAGCGCGCTTTTGCACGTTTAAAACGAAATTACATCGGTCGCACATCCGTGTCTTTCTTCTTCCCTTGGCCTTCTCGGCGGGAAAATATGATGGTTGAAAAAAATGGTTGGTTAAGTTGGTGTGACGTCGAGGATTCTATTTAATTATCATCGGAAAACGATATTTCTACTTTGATATTCGAGAGATTTTGAGAATTGAGAATTGAAGTTTCATGCGTTTGTTGGAAATGAAATGAATCGGTTGAATGTGTTTCTATTTTACATTCTATTTTAGATTTATTTTTAGAGAAATCATCCTCTATCACGATTTTCGATGCATTCTGTAGTTGTAGAGTTTTAAATCAGGTATAGCGAAGTTGTAAATTAATTCCACAACAATTATAGCTATTGATGTCGACGTGACAAAGTTTAGACACTAAAGCCTCGTTTAGATTAGTCAAGTTGCTCGAAACTGCTTAAGTAATTCGATTTGAAACTCTTGTCCATATTAGTCAAATGTTACTTGAATACAAGCAATTTAACATCGAAGAATCTTAAACTACGTATCAGGTGTAGAATCTCGATAAAATGGAAAGATGGAAGTTTTTGTTTTTTTTTGTATATAATAAATACCAAATTTTCGTACCTCTTCGTATACGCATTATAAGAAATAAATTTTCTGACAAATCAGCGAACACTCTGAGGGAGATTCTGGTCACAAAGAACTGCTTTACATCTTTTGTTGGTAATAAACGAAAACTTCCGTTCCATTAAAATATTCCGCCTCGAGAGATCAAAGGAGTGCAAGTTATTCAATAAATTTCGAGAATTCCCTACTTTTTCGTTTTCTTGTTCCTCGGTTAATTCACTGTAACTTCAAACGACTTGAAGTCGCGAGGATTCGCCAAATATTGATAAAAGCATCTGAGGCAAAGTGTCTTATTACGGATGAAACGGATATTATATAACCTGTAGGAAGGAACTTTTATTATTAACAATTGGCATTATTACTTCGTATTGCGATAACGATCAACGTTTTTCAAGGATATATTGCGACTGAATAGAATGAAAAACGAGTGACAAATAATTGGTATTTATTCGTCTCTATTGATACAAATATTTACAGAAATTTCTCTAATTTGAATATAATATCCTTGAAAATATTCATTAAAAATGAACATTATTATCGAAGCGATAATACAAATATCAATCTCTCAATTGGTTTTCATTGCGTGATTGATGTGCAGCCGGTCACAAAAGTTTTCGTTAACACTTAAAAAGAAAATTATTTAAAAACGAAGATTCTGGTTGAAACAATATTCTGCAAAAATAAATTGCTCCATCGTTATAATTAATCCAATTTTCTAATCATCTATTTCTAACTTGATTTTGGTAATGCAATTTGTTGTACAAACTTTTGTGATCGATACATACGTAAATATTAAACGAGACATTCTTCTACTCGTACAAATTTCTCTGATTGGCAAAAATCCGCATTATTCTTTATCGAAATCAAAAGTAAAAGTAAACCGCTTATTTTTTCCCGGATCGATCCGCACTTCCTTGGAAAATCTAATTTTCCCCGAATCGATCCATTTCCCTTTTCGCTCGAGAACATCATCGATATATGCGCCGTTTGTAATCCGAACAGCCAATTCTTAGAAATTCATCGAGTCCCATTCCCGAGTCGATTTCCCTCTACGCGAATTCAATTTTCCCCGCGGTGGAAGACTTTGTCTTCTCTTCTCGAGGAAATCACGATTCTCCGGCGCGGGCGACAAGTTTTTCTTCCCGAAATCACGATGTGTCGATTGATGGACGAGAAATTCGTAAAGTGCAATAATTTTTACATCTTGAAATATTAATAGCCGTGACAAAATATAGTTTCCGATATTAAATTTTGATACAAAAATCTATAACTATCTACGTTTCTTTTTTTGAAAATAAAATGTATCATAGATATTCTTTTTAATTGTTATAAATTATTATTAATTCCAATTAAATTGGAAAATAATATTAGCATCTTTAAAACTCGTGATGGATGGAATAATACGAGTAGTGTTAATTTTCTATTAGAATTTCGTCATCGAAAGTATCGAAATTTTTAACAAGTGTCAAAAAGTTTGATAAAAAATTATCCTAATATTCATATATATATATATATGTATGGATAAAAAAGCTTCGTGAAAAATTTTGAAAAAGGGACACGGTGAAACGAATCCGTTTTCTCGATATTCTCGTTTAGGATTGATTTGAGATGGTGAAAGGAAATGACGATCAGGGAATCGACGTTTGATGGTGAATAAATCTGATGAAATGCGAGAAGAATTTGTCGCGCGGACGATATCGTTCCGATGGCAAGCGAACATCGACGCCAGTTAATTCGCGAAAATTATGTTTTCAAGCTTTTCATCGTCAGCTTCATTTTCACGTCTCTCTTTCCCGTTTGCATATTCGGTATTTTCGATTGCCGGTTTAATCGAGGTAAAGATGAACGGGATAAAAGAACGATTCATTTGTCCGCTGATTAAATCGTTCGACGAGGATCGAAAACGATTGTTACAATCGAATATTTTAATCTGCATACACGATTATTATTTTGATACATACATCGTTCAAATTGATGGCATAAAATAATAGAAATATATCACGGTTTCATCGTATATTTTGTCTTTCTCTGTCTTTTTAGATTTTTCCCAGTGAATGCAGCCATTTTTAAACTTAAAATATATAATTTTTCGGTAAAAAATCATATTCGCATGATAATTTTAAATATTTTTTTCTTCAACTTTACTACTTTGACGGAGCTATTATTATTATCGATCGACGAAAAATTTTTATTAATTTATGAACAGAAGAGGAATTGACGTGGAAGAAATAAGTAAGAGAAAAAATTAGATAACGATGCAAAAGAATTGTAGGGTGCAAAGGGGAATAATGAGAATATTAATTCTTTGGATTATATTTGATGAGTCAGAATCGAATTGAGGCAATATTCAATAAATTTGAATTTGCATGTATTTATTCCTACTATATTCATCAATTGAGTCCAAGTGATAAATAATAGTTTATTAATTTATGTAAAGCATAAAATTATGGAAGCTACTTTTATCAATCAAACTCTCTCCACTGCTTCTCCACTATCTTCCAGTCAATCAAAAGACACTGAGAGCATAATGAAAAAGAAGACTTCACTTAAAAAATCTTCAATACTATTATCTTAATTGCAAAATTACATCATGCAATCAATTTGAGAATTTTGATCAGCACATATGTGCCAATTAAAAATTAATCGATCAATCAAAAATTGAAATATTTTAGTTCGAAGAAAACATGAGCTTCCATAAAGTTAATCAAGTTAAGTCCACAATATGACACGAAGGGTTAAGAAAGGAAGAGAAAAAAGAATACGACTTGCGATCCCTTGAGGATTTATCACGAGAAGAGGAGATCCAACTGGAATAGGAAAAGATGGAAGCTATTGAAAATGAGAAATCTTTTCAGACGAGATTGAAATATATCTTTAAACGAAAACTAACGTGGACACGAGATGCCAGTCGCGAGAGCTCAGCCACTGAGAATATTTATAACGCGGATCGGCCTGGTAAAATTCCTGAGGGATGTTGGCCGAATAAATGCGGTCTGCCGACCCATTTCAACGAGTGGACAAGAGTAGATTTTGGGGCTAATTTACTAAGATTTCATTTGGTAGTAGCCGCTGGATTATGCATCATGATTGTTGCGCAATTATGACTTGATTGTTTCCCGAGTCGGATGTTTATTCCTTGGTTAACGTTAATTAGGATTGTGACCATTGCGGCCTTGGTTCCGTGAAATTATTTCGAACGAGGGGATGGAATATTCGAATCTCGCCTCTTTAACCCTTTAATTTTATGTTACAACTCGTTCGAATTAACTTCTCGTGTATTAAATCGTTATTACTTTTACCGTGATTCTTTATTTTCAACTTGGTATCAAAGGGGGTGTTTGAATTTAATCCTTTGATCTTATAACCATACCACACGTTTTTATTCAACGGAAACTTCAATTATTATTTGTAATTTGAATAAATAAAACTCGACGTTCTTGTGTGTAATTTGTTTTGGCATTTGAAATCAAAAATTTCAAAAGTGTGCCACGGATACATTGCTAAAATATATTCATTGAACGCTTAAATAATATTTGAAGAATATTTTTGCAACAGGGGATAAATATATACGATTATAGAAGTCGGATTATTCCTGTTTGTTGCCATGATAAAAGTAAAAATACTATTACCGCGTGCGTGCAATAAAGCTTCCCCTTTGTACTCCTAAATATGTATGTCTCTCTAGTGCTGGCGCAATTTTATATCACCTTGGAAAACTAGGAAAAAATGCTTGTAAACTCTGGTCGCGGGTTCTGAACATGCATAGCTCGTGACAGAATTTTAAAACAGATGATAATAATCAACAAAATATCAGAATAATACGAATGAAGACAATTTTACGAGTACGTCGAGTTTCTTTTCGTTTCTTTTGAATATTAATATTTTAATAATATCGTAGATTTTTATAATTAAAATATTCATATATTATATTCCCTGTAAAAGATATATTTCCAAAATTTGGAATTTTATTCAAAACGAGAGCGAAAAAAATGAAATTGGAATTTCGAAGATTGATTTCACTCCCCCAACAACAAATTTTCCCTCGAGAAATGGATTGTTCCACGAATAATGCAATGCATATGCTTTAATCAAAATAACAATTTTTAATTCCTCCTACTTTCTCTTCTGAACATATTTCCAACAAACTTCCAATCAATCATTTGATTTTGATCGATACGCGCGTGCTGCAATATTAAATATTTAATTTCGTGGTAATACCTGATTCGTACACGTATAGATAAACCATAATTTAAACATTTAACACAGAGGCGAATAGCTTCTAAGATTTAATTTACTACCTATTGAAAGGTAGAGGATTGAACAATACGCGTTCTAAAGCAAAAATATTCTCCC